ATATATATATATATATTCACTTCTTTTATATATTGTAGAATTTGTTTGATCTTTAATTTAAAGTGTAAAAAGAAACAAATCGAACAGAATGAAAGTTAAGCTAACATGACTTCAAGAATTCAATATACTAGATATTTCATCATAAGTTAATAGCTGATGTAGGCGCAGATGGCAGGCCAATGGCAGGACTCACACGTATCAAGTGGCGCCCGTCAAGGTTCAGCCAATAAGCTAACATGCATTATCCAGTTCGGCGGAAAGCGTGGAACCAAAGGCATGGGGTCACGTGGAGGCCTAGGATGGCCATGCACCCCACGTATGGACTCAATCCCCACCGTCCGAACCCACCTATTTTCATGCCGTTTCAAGTATAAATATGGGGTGATTTCCCTCCAAGTAAATGATCGAATACTTGAGCTCTTTCATTAGTACTTGAGATTCATTGCTCTCCAGTGACCTMGTACCACAATACTAATTTGACCGTCGGAGAGCAAAACACAAGCAATGTGATCCTACTCCTTATACATTTGCATTAGCAAGAGTCACATTTTTCTTACTTCATCCAATGTTTTCTTTGATCTTCCCCTTGTTATTTTTGTTAGTGGCATATACATATGATCGATGGCGGATACAAGAATTTTCTTTTTGGGGGACCAAGTTATATAAGAAAATGACATTGAGTGTAGAAGTACGGTTTCGAGAAAAATGGGACAGGAAGGTCTCGATCTATTACAGATTGTTTTAATGAAAAATAAATAAATGCCTCAACACTATATACAATTTTTTGTTTGGCAAGATGTTTCTACTACCATTTTCATAGAAAATGAGTCATGTCGATATTCGACACTAATTCAAGTGTTGCAAGCAATGGTGAGCCATGGCAAGAAATATCATGAAAGATGTTTCACAAAAAACTCAAACTTTCTCGAGTTCTAAGGTGATGCATTTTTTAGTGTTTTTTTTGATAATCAATTTATCAAATTGAAGATTTATTGGACCGTTTAACCGAAAATGCTAAGTTGGCACCCATGTGGCAACTTTTTTTTTTTTTTTCTGGGAAACGGCAGTGATACCAAACATCCCCTTAGTCTACTTTTTCTCATTTGTTATCAATTGGAGCAACTCTTAAACCTGGATTCTCTTGTGCTTTTATGTACTTGTGTTAGAAAAAGTCCTAAAAGATAGTAAGTATTCTAACATTGATTCCACTTTCACCATAAGTTTGTTTAGTTGAGCTAAATCCAAAACACAAGCCAAACCACAAAAATTAGACAAGCTTTTAGCCTCAAAACTTTACTTTAGTTGGAGGGGTGGTCGCTTTGAAAATTTATTAATCATTATCAAAAGGAAGAAATATAATTACAAGGGAAGACTTGGCCCACCTTGCCCCAAACTCAAAACACAAGAATCTCTCCTTTACCCACTCAACCCTGCTTAGTTTGAAAAGAGCACAAATATGAATATATACAGTACAAATACATAAAAATAATATAAAATACAAGGGTTTGCACTCTATATTTCTACTCCTTTCAAAATAAGCTTAAAGAAAATCAGCACTGTTGTTTTATGAGAATTCATAGAGTAGTTGGCGGTGAACTGGTCCACACCACACCCTATGGTAGGGACCAATCTACACTACACCACAATCCACAATTGTTCTGAATTGTAGATAAATTATGTAGACTGAATCAATCCACACCACACTTTTTGATTTAATGTATCTCATATACATTTTATGAATGATGTACACAGTTGATCATAAATGTCTAATTTGTGCATTTTATATGATAAATATATTGAAAAAGGCATCGATAAATTAATATTAACCAATAAATATTAATTTTACTAAAAATGATAGTAAAATAATTACAAAATAAGAAATTACTTTAAATATTAAAAATGTTATTTTATTGATAAAATTTTAAAAAATTAAAATTAAAAATTTATTATTTTAAAATATAAAAATTAAAAAGAAAAAAATATGTAGAAGAGATGTATTGTATCAACCAGCCACATCCACAAGATATATGTGTGTTTGATATTTTAGGATGTGGACAGGGACAATCCACCATATAGTATAGCTTGGTCCCGTCCACAACCAACCAAATGGGGAATTCACCCCGAGATGTGAACCAAAATGGTCCATCCATGAGATGAACATGTTATCAAACACCACATAAAGGGATGTTTGGTGGGAGCTCAGAAGTATCTATTTGCTTGTTCTGATTTTTAAATTTATCACATCAGTCATCTGCTGATTCCCCAAATCGTGTGAAAAATCTCATTTGGAAATACCAGTTCCTCAAAAGTCAGTAATTGAATTGATTAGTCCTGATTATTGATTTTGGATCTCATTTCTACCAAACATTTTTTCTTCTTTTCTCTCTCTTTGTTTTTTTTTTTTTGTTTTTTTAATTCTTTTTAAGAAATCAACTCCCCAAATATCCAAACCCCTCAAAATTCTGGTTTAAGGAAATAATTTGGACCTTCTAAATCAACTATTAGTTTAGGGCCCGTTTCAAAGGGCTGAACTGATGATTCAGCAGCTAAGCTGATTCAGCCTTTGAAGCGCTGCAGATAAGCTATTCAAAGAGACCGGAGCAGCAGTCCTTTAAATGACTGAGTTTTTCAGACTTTTCAGCAAACATAGCTTATAAGTTGTCTGTGTGGGTCCCGCCCTGGAAAGCTAGAAGCTGCGCTTGAGCCTCCCAAATGAGCACTTAAAGCTTTCCATTTGTTACAGGCAGCCATTTATGCACAAATCATTTGAAAATAAAGTGCAAGTTCTCTTCCAAATATAATCTTTACTTATTAGAGAGCTTTAGGGGGTGTTCTTTTTTTGGATTTTGAGGGGCAGGGGGTGAAGTTGGTCAATGTGATTTTGGTTTCCATTGACTAAGAATTCCATGTTTTTTTTTCATTTTCATATAGGGACCAGGAAAAGTTTATTTTCCCAAGTACACTTATTCAGGAAATTGATGCCCAGCTCTTAGATGGGTAAATAACTTTCCCATGTAGGGGGAAAGTTGCCAACACTTGAATGGGACAAAAATACTCCTTTTAATAATGAATTTCTATGGCTAAAATGATCATTGCCTTATTTACCCAGGAAATAAAAGAATATGGGTAAATGCTTTTTTCAGGTAAGTGTTTCCCAAGAAAAGTTTACCCAAATAATTGCATTTACCTAGATAAGTAACTTACCGAAAAGTGAATGGAACCTTAATGGTAATATCCAATCTCAGATTTGATCGTAATTGGATGATTCATTTGTGAGAAACTGTGCAGATGCAGGGTTCCATCTCTGTTACTTTTCTATTAAGTATTAGTCTATTACTAGAGACCATTAACATGTTTAACCTAAAAGATTAAACTGTTAGATAAGGTTACTGAATAGATTTTTATTCTCTAACATGCCCCTCACGTAAAAGCTTATAAGGTTTGAAGTATGGGGAAAATATTGAACACTGAACCACTTTGATTGAATAGGATCTGATACCATCTCAACTCAACGAATCATTTAACCTAAAAGAGTTAAGCTATTAGGTGAATTCCCTGAATTATTTTTTTATTAATTTGGCTCTCCAAAAATTTTGCCAAGCATTGTTATAAGCTTTCCGGATGCACCCCACCTCTCAAAACCAAAACCCACACAAAATTGCTGCCACAGCTCATGACATGTTGAATATATTGAACCATAACCCATATACCAAACTAAATCCAATTCAGGAGATCTCCTCTCTCTGATCAATAATCTACTTGCATTTAACCATCAATGAAGTAGCCAACTGATTATTTCCAGAGGAACGTAAGGCAACCTTCTAGTGTCATTTTTGGAGCATTTGGCCCACCCAAATGTCACCATCTCCAGCATTGCTTGGACGGTCCAAACTGGTTCATTCACTTGCACCAATTCTGAGTCTGAAATTCCATCCTCTTTTTAAAAAGGCTAAAAAGACTTACTTTTTAGTTCTTTTCTGATATCTGATACATATTATTTTATATGAAATGTAAAGAGCATTTCAAACTTGTGCATGAAACTTCCTTGCAGACTATAAATTTAGTGTATAAACTATTGCTGTATACAATCTCTACACATATTTGTATCCTCCTATTTTTTATTATTATTATTTTTTGTTAGAATGGACCATCTGTTTGGATTGGACGGTCAGACTGTTTGACCCAAGAACCGGTCTCCAAAATAATTTCCTATCCAATCCAATTTTAAAAATCTTGATTTAAAGTATTATGCTATATTTTGTTTAACAAACACACTCCTTCCGGCATATCGAGATATATAACTTGAACCTTTACCCAGGTACCCATCTAAAGGATCCATACCCATGCAGCTCCTATCTGGTTCTAAATATAGACCGGAATAACACCTACTGGATCCTACATGAATCGCACCAACCCGAACCCGGCCAATTGAACCAAGAGGCCCCACCGAACCCGATCTCCATACCGTCCCACATATAGTAAATCTGTATTCAAATAAGCATATAAACGTGAAAATGCAGGGTTGGGTCAGTGCGGATTTATCTCTTGACCCGATCCATAAAGAATTGGGAAACAAGCTGCTTAAAAATAAAATAGAATTAAAAAAAAAAGTAGGATGATCAGAGGGTTGTTATCCTTCCATCCAGACAGCTCCAAACAAAAAGAACTTTCAATTCAAAGAATGATTTGCCAAAATGTAGGACCCATTCTACTGGCACGTGCTTCCATCCTGTATATCTATGTCGTTTACAAAAGGACTAAAAGTATTCACGGGAGGTAGTGAATACTATTATAGTCCAGTAATAGGGAATCACAGAGTGTTTTACCGGGCCCACCCAATTTTTGTGTTGTCGTTCTACACTTCTACCCTGTTATTCCTACATTCTTAACCCCAAACTCAATTTCTCCTTACACGATAAGAAGCCAAACCAATCTTCAAAATCTCTTTCTCCCCTTCTCTATAAATATTGAACCATGCTGTAATGTTTCTTCAACGCTCTGGTGGTAGATTTGCAGCTGCAGAGATGGGAGTAAACTCCAACAGAGTGGAAGACTTCCCAGCTGGTGCATGCCATGAAACCACCGTGAAAATCACAGCAGAATCTTTACCACCTCTGGAGATACATGAAGTGTGCTTACCACCCAACAAAACCACTTTCCAGACACTCAAACACAGACTCTCTGAGATTTTCTTCCCAGACGACCCACTTCACAGATTCAAAAACCAGTCACCATCTGTCAAGCTAGTCTTAGGTCTTCAGTATTTCTTCCCCATATTTCAGTGGGGGACTAACTACAGTCTCAGACTTATCAAGTCCGACATTATCTCTGGGCTCACCATTGCAAGTTTGGCAATCCCACAGGTAGACATCTAGCCAATGTTAAATCATTTTCTCACTGGGTTCTCTCATAAAATATTTAATGAAATTATTGAGTTTGTCTGAAACCTTACAGATTTAATCTAATATAGTTTTCTTTCTTGTAATGCAGGGAATTAGTTATGCAAAGCTTGCAAATTTGCCACCCATAATTGGACTCTGTGAGTTCTGTTCTACTTTTCCCTTAGTCAAACTGGTTTTATTGTGGGTAATCACTTTTATTTTCAAATTTTCTGAACTTGGTTTCTTTTCAGATTCAAGCTTTGTGCCACCACTAATATATGCAGTCCTTGGGAGTTCTAGACACCTTGCGGTTGGCCCAGTCTCAATAGCATCCCTGGTCATGGGCTCAATGCTAGGAGAGTCAGTCTCCCACACTGAGGAGCCAATTCTCTATCTTAAATTGGCTTTCACTGCAACCTTCTTTTCTGGCCTGTTTCAGGCGTCTCTGGGATTACTAAGGTATGAACTCTGCAAATTTCTAGGAACAAGAAGCCCACAATGTCTGTCTATGCTTGGTCTTCCTTTCAATTTCACCTTCACACAACAATCATGAACCACCTAACCATCAATTATGGTGTCTTCTGTTTTATCAGTACTTTTCTTAGGGACAAATCCATTTCTGATAGTAGTTATTCCATAGCTTTCCAACCTTGTTGACTTTGCCTGCTTATATGTATTCAGTGGACCGGGTTCAGTGGTAAACCCACCTGGGCCGACCTGATTGGATCGGGTTTGGATCAGTCTTAAGTGGGTTTTGGGTTGGGATCATGTTAAGTAGCTAAGCCACACAGAACCCACCTGTTGGCATAGTGACATTGACAAATGTGCCAACTTGGGGGGAGGGGGGTGTTCAGTAACCCTGTTCCAACTGTTGAAATACTAAGATCACAGAATGAGATTAAATGACCTTAAGTTCCACTGTTTGTATTTATTCTGCATCTTGTTTTCACATAACATATAGAAAAAATAAATGAAATACCAAAGAGTTGACTGGATGGATTGTTTACAGGTTAGGATTCATAATTGATTTTCTCTCAAAGGCAACTCTACTTGGGTTCATGGCTGGAGCAGCAGTTATTGTATCTCTGCAACAGCTGAAAGGGTTGTTTGGGATTGTGCACTTCACCAACAAGATGCAAATCATTCCTGTCATGTCCTCTGTTTTTTATCACAGAGAAGAGGCAAGAAACTGAACTAAGAAAAAGCTTTATTTGTGAATAATATATATACTTTACAGAAAAAAAGACAGGAATTCCTGATGAGATGAATCCACCAATTTTATGTACAGTGGTCCTGGCAAACTATTGTAATGGGCCTGAGTTTCCTGATCTTTCTACTAACAACAAGGCATATTGTAAGTGGTTACTATATGACATCTGAACTGAGAAAGTTTATTGGATTTCATTTTTTTCCGGATATTTATTCTCACTTGCTTGATTTTCCTCTGTTTTTAACATAGATGTTCTTTTTCCTATACTTTTTGGATTAATTACAGAGCATAAGAAAACCAAAGCTTTTCTGGGTTTCGGCAGCAGCTCCATTAACATCTGTCATTCTATCAACCATTCTAGTCTTTGCTTTCAAAGCTCACGTTCATGGCATCTCAACAGTAAGAAAATTTATACTCCTTGCAGTTTTCCTTTTCTTTATGGTACCATATTATTGCAGAGAAATTATATGGCAGACTCTCAATTCTTTCTCCTTTTTTGTCAAACAGATTGGACACTTGCAGAAGGGTCTAAACCCACCTTCTGCAAATATGTTATATGTGCAGGGTCCTTACTTGGGTCTTGCCATCAAAACAGGCATCATAACTGGGATTTTGTCTCTCACTGTGAGTGATTCTAAACCAGCACTTAAAATACTACCATCATCTACTGATTCAAGCATTGATAAATTCTCAGATGTTGAGATTGTAATCTTGGGGCCTGATTTTTCTGTTCCATGAAATCCCACTGATTGGGTGGCCTAGATCAATTAGAAAATGCATCATTTCAACTTTGTTCCTTCAATTTTTTAAGTCACAGTAGAACTAAACCATTTACCTTTCACTTATTCTATAGGAGGGAATTGCAGTAGGAAGGACATTTGCTTCACTAAGAAATTATCAAGTTGATGGGAACAAAGAAATGATGGCAATTGGGTTGATGAACATAGTTGGTTCTTGCTCTTCCTGCTTTGTTACTTCAGGTGAGATCACATCTCAACTTTCTGTTTCCCTCTTATCTTCTTCTATCAAATCAAACCAAACACAGCCTTAAATGACCCCATTTCTAAGTTCTAATCTACATGATCCGACCCGTTTTTGTTGCCGGGTTGTTAGGATCCTTTTCTCGATCCGCCGTTAACTACAACGCCGGGGCACAGACGGCAGTTTCGAACATAATAATGGCGGCAACTGTGCTGGTGACGCTTCTGTTTCTCATGCCACTGTTTACATATACTCCCAGCCTGGTGTTGGGGGCGATTATCATAACGGCCGTGATCGGGCTGATCGACTACCGGGCGGCCTACCGGCTGTGGAAGGTGGATCGGCTCGACTTCTTCGCTTGTATGTGTGCCTTTTTTGGTGTTCTCTTCATCTCTGTGCAGATAGGCCTTGCCATCGCTGTAAKCTTCTTTCTCTTCTTTCAGCCACCCTTATCTTCAATATGCACCCGTGAAACTAGCAGGCAATATAGGGTGTCAATAGATTGGGTCGGGTCTATTTAGATGATCCGACCTGTAATATGTGGGAAAGGAAGGGTACTAATTACTAAAGGTTAGGGGTGGCCACGAGCCGAGTTCTTTACGAGCTTATTCGAGTTTAGCTCGTGAAAAGTTCGGTTCAGCTCGGTTTCAATTAAGTTCAAATCCAATTTATAGGCTTATTTATTAATCGAGCCAAGTTCAAATAACTACATGCATATAATAATAATTTTATTTTTTTTATTATTTTTATTTTTATATATAATACTAATTAATTATTATAACTCTTAATTTTTGAATATCAAATAAAAATATTTTTATATATAATTTTTAATTTTTATAAAACATTTTTCTCAAGTTGAGCTTGAGTCGAGCCAAGTTTGAGTTTACGAGCTTTTGACTCGAGTCGAGCTCAAGCTCAAGGTTCTAGCTCGAACTGAGCTCAAGCTCGAGCCTCGTACTGCCTTGGCAAGCCGAGCTCGAATAGCTAGCTATTCGGCTCGGCTCGGCTCAAATCCACCCCTACTAAAGGCCTCGTTCATATTCACTTACCCAAGCTTGAATAAGTGTTTCCTTGGCAAAAGTTGCCCAAATAAGATCGGTGTCAACGTTCTTATGCAATTTACCCAAATAAAGAAAGAGAAGGGAGGGGATTAGTGTTATGATGTGTACATAAACAATTTATCCACCCTCCAAGAGGATATTAATTACTTGGGTAACTAATACTTTCCAGAAAATCTACTTATCGTGAGACCCAATATAGTGGCATAAGAACACAGGAATCATGGTCAATTATTCATTTAACCGACTTGCCCTCACGAGATACCAGCAAATGAACTGAACTTAAGTACTACTATAGTAGCCTAGTAGGGTACAAGTTGGACAGGCTGGATTAAGGGTGCAAATGGATCAGATCATGATCCCATCCGATTAGATGTATAGTTGTGGAATTCTGATTGGATTGAAATTGAGCCAGACTTATATTGACCAAAAATCCAAGATCAGCCCGTGTAAAATTGCAAGGTGAATCGATTTGGTCTCCGCTTGAAGCACCCCTAACAAGTAGAGTTAGGAATCGGTTACCGGGTGAAGGACATATTTGATCCATGGCCCGTTAAGGACATGATGCCGGATTGATCCAGCTTATAATTTAGAAAGTGATTTTAAAGAATATTTTGGTGTTTATAACTTAGAGAAATAAGATGGTTATAGTACGGGGTTGGATTCCTGATTAATTGGCCGGAATTTCAGGTCGGAGTGTCGATATTCAAGATACTATTACACGTGACGAGGCCGAACACGGTGGTTTTAGGGAATATTCCGGGCACTGAGATTTACCAAAATCTCCGCTGTTACAGGGAGGCTTTGAGGGTTCCCTCGTTTCTTATACTTGGAATTGAGTCCCCCATCTTTTTTGCAAATTCCACCTACCTCCAAGAAAGGTTTGTCTCATTCTCTCATTCTCTGTCTTGTATTCTCCTTTCAGTATATCAACATTACAGACCACAACAACGGTCTGCCAGCGTCTCCCCTATAGTTTGGTTTGGCACATTTAGTTAGTCCATCAGATGATCATTCAATCAGAACAGTTCTCATCCACGTGTCTTTCGGATCCATTACTTGGTGGGTCCATTTTGTTTCTTCATCTTCATGATATCATTGTTGTTGCAGGATATTAAGATGGGTCCGGGAGGAGGAAGACAGGATACAAGAAAACAAAGAGAGTACACTAAAATGCATAATTTTGGATATGACCGGTTAGTTAGTTGACTATATGCAACTCTTGTCCTACCTTGTCTGTAGGGCGAAGAGTTCAGGAGTTGCATAGACTCCTTTATTTAACATTCCTCAATTTATTCAATTCTCTATCTAGTAAAATGAAAAAACTGTAAGAGCTTACAGGTAAACCCAGCTAAACTCAACCATTTTGAATGTTTTCACTTTTCAGCGGTAACAGCCATAGACACCAGCGGCATTGAAGCAATAAATGAACTTCGAAAGACACTGAAGAAACGATCACTTCAAGTAAGCAGGGCCCTACCCATCTCTGGAAAGACTGAATCTCCGGCGAATTTCCGATAGGCGTTTTACTGACTGACATATTGTTTTTCTTTGATTTCTATTGCAGCTTGTATTGGCAAATCCTGTTGGAGATGTGATGGAAAAGCTGCACCGCTCAAAAACATTGCAGTCCTTCGAATTGAACGGGCTCTACCTATCAGTTGGAGAAGCCGTTGCCGACATCTCGTCACTGTTTAAGGCTCAGCCATGAGCTTCTTTCTTTAGATTGATCAGTACGATCTCACCATGTTATAACAGAGTAAAATAAAAGAATCCAGTGTACTAAGAGAACACTTGATTCCTCGCCGGTGTAGGTTGAGAATGAGAGCTCTTCTAAGAAGAGTTTTTTTTTTTTTTTGAAGAGAGAGAGGTATTTTAGTTAATAAACCAAGATGACTTGTATGTATGCACGGCGATCTCTTTCAACAAGAGGTTTTGAGGTTAGCTTTGGTACGTTAATTCCCTGATCAAAGCATGTTGATGTTTTGAGATTCATGTTTCTTTGGAGCGGATCAGTCAGATTTAATACCCCTCAAAACATGCACTGTTTAATTGGCATGGATCATTTGATTTGATTTCATGGACTCGTCAAATTTTGATTGGAAATAGAGTTCCATCTTTAATTGTTATTTTCTAGAGMTAAATCTTAAGAAAATTAGCAAACAGATTGGATGCACAATCTTTTCCAACATCCTGACCCGATCTGCAGTTGCTAGAGTTCGAGAGCTACAAAGCCATCCAACACTCTCCAATCCATACCCATTGGACAAGCATAGAAGAACCTTAGACATATGTTGGGGGCCAATTCTAGTATTCTACAACTATTTGAGGATTCATTTAGTTCAAAGGAATACGGGTCTGGAATCAAAATTGGAAGGGCCCCAGCCATTTGACTGGACAGAATAGGATTCCAATTCCAACCTTCCCATTTGAGAGAATGACCATTCCAGCCAAGTTCAGCTTCGGTCAGTAGAAGCCTGTGCTCACACCATTTGAACAGCCTCTTGCAACCTTGCATCGAGAATATCTCCCTATGAAATAAAGCACACAAGTACAGAGATATTCCCAATGTAAGGCTGTTCAAACAGGGGTTGCACTGACGGAAGCCAAACTCATTCCCGCCTCTCCCATTGGGAATGAGAACCTCATTCCAATCGGCCAAAAAAAAAACCCTCTTTACCCAACATCAACTTATAGAATCCGATTACAACCCCTATCTTAACCAAACAGGCAGGGGAATAGGCAATTCTGACCATGAACTAAACAGACCTGAGTTTCTTTGTGAAAATGGGATTCCATTTTGTTCTCACTTTGGATTAACAAGAAAAACCGTGATACAGTGAACACCCCAGTTTTCTGTCCAGTCTGGCAACATTGCCGTCCATAAACATAAACCACATCATGCGGAGAAACACCAAAACCTTTACCCGTGGAAGTTCGGGGTTCACAGATCAATCCAGAGAGCATGAGAAAAAAATGTTCACTCATTATCGTAAAAAGCCCATTTTCACAAAGGAATATGAGCGAAAGTCCAATTCTGCATGTAAATGAATATGAGCCAATGCTCTTAACATCAATTCTGCTCTTCCTCCTTCCATCCTTGAGAAAAATAAAATAAATCTGAAACACAGTAAGATGAAGGGGAAAAAAACAATATGCCCTATTAAAAACAGTAACCATTGTACATGAGGGATTTCCCCCAAAAATCAGAAGTTACCAACCTTTTGAGGCAGGTCTAGTTTCCAATCTTGAACTCCTCAAATGCAAGCACAGTTAATGTTTCCTCTCACCATTACCACTTTACCAGCAAAGAGGAGTGGAACCTACAGTTGATCCAAAAGGCTTCAAAAAGTTCTTTCTTTAAGGCCCCATTTGCTTTTCGGTAAGTTACTTACCAGGGTAAATGCAGTACCTGGGTAAGTTTTTCTTGGGAAACACTTACCTGTATTTACCCATGTTCTTTTATTTCCCAAGTAAAAAAGGAAATGACCATTTTAGCTGCCATAAAAACTCATTATTAAATGGGACATTTTTGTCCCATTCAAGTGTTGGAATCTTTCCCCCCAGGTGGGAAAGTTATTTACCCACCTAGGAGATGGGTATCACTTACCCGGGTAAGTAATACCCAGGAAAATAAACTTTCCCTGGTCCCCACATTAATCTGAAAAAAGAGAATGGGATTCTTGGTATGCCATTGACCAACTTTCCCCCCTCTCAAAATCCAAAAAAAGAACGCCCCCTAAGATACATTACGAGTTTGGCATTTCATGAGCCTTATCCAAACACTCCGCCAAAGCAACGAAGAAGCTTTTATCATTCATCCGCAACAGAGTCTGCTACATATCCCCTTGCCTGTGGAGTTTCTCTTGTCAGTCAAACATCTGCATGGAAGAGTTCTCAAATTAATAATGCAGATATTGCAACCACAGAGGTAGTGGTCAAGTAATTGTCAAAGCAACAAAACTTACCAAGCCATGGACACTCGTATACATGTAACATTTTTCTGGTTGAGTTACTTGTGCAATATGCACAACTTTTCTTTTTCACGACCAAGAGAAACACTCTAAAGAGTAAGTTTCTTACTAGTCATTTTTAGCAAGCTTTTTACATCCAATACTAGATGAACCTCTGTTTCATATGGAATACAACAAATTGACTAGATAAATCAAGCAACACTGTCAGATCAGCCTATTGGTCTGTTTTTTTTGGCTCTTGATTGGTTTTATGTGTCCCTCCCTTGGTTTGTGAGGTTATCCCCTTGTGTCCTTCTATCTCCACATGTGCTAGGGTTGCTAACCAAATGGGCCATGGTTCCTTGTGCTATCCCTAGGGGCATTTGAAAAAGAACCCTAGTGGTGCTAGTGCAGAACCTGAGGCAAGGTCACGACACTGGCACAAACTTCAATGGAATGTTTTTTGGCAACTCCAATGCAATGTTGTAGCTCAAGTTGTAGAACTTGCAAAAACTAAATAGTGCTTTAATGGTGGTTTACACAAAAGGAAGGAATGTAACAAGCAAGAAAGATAATGAGAGGGAAGGGATAAGGAGATAACTAACAGACAGCTCTACTTCTGGGTTCCAATCCTCTGATTAGAATGTCACTAGACAAAAGAAGAGGAAGGTGAAGTCTTGCCACTGGGAGAAAAGTTCACTTTTCAACCAATAACAATGTCCTAGAGCTAAAATCTCAAAATATTCATTTACTAAATAGGAAAAACTAGAGTACAATGCTTTTTATAGAAGGCTAGAGTTGTCTTGCACAGGACCAAAACAATTTATATTCAAGCATCTAGAATATTCGCCCACTGGCATGTGCTTGATACAAGCCATGCAATGGGTATCCAAATGGGACTGTGAGTAAAATGAACTAGGCTGTGGGTCATAGGCCAAAACTATTGGACTGGTAAACAAAGAGGATTCACTATAATCTTGGGCACAATGTCATTAATAAAACCATGTGGGAATGGGCCTAAGTCCAAATAGGTAAGGCCCACTAGTGCTGCATCATACAGAATCTTCAAAGAAAAAGAAAGAAACTTTCCCCTTTGTGAGCAAGTTAGTAGAGGGTGGTAAACCATAGACGATTGTTTTCTATTGTCTTTAGCAAACAGAGAGGTCTAGCAGAAAAGTGTTCTATGTAACTAGAGTTTCTATAAAAGCAGTCAAATGAACTGCTACGACTGCATCTAAAGAAACAGTGACCCATGGGTTCACTAAAAAGACTGATATCTTTCACAACTTCCATTTAAAACCAAATTTTTACAGACCAATGATATGAAAAAGTTTTGAAGAACAGTACAGAAAACCGAGGCTCCTGTTACTCGGTGATTAAAAAACCAGATGAAATTATCCTAACATGCTAGACTGAGAAAGAGACAAGAAATGTGAGAGGGGGAGTTATAACTAAGAGAGTTCCAAGTGGCTTGAGTGAAGAATCTGCAAGGGTTAATAACTGAAACACCTAGTAAATGATAAAAAACTTTTGTCATCGCATTACAGAGGTGCTGAAAATGACTTACTTATGGGTGGATATCACAAAAAGAATAGTCATAGAACTTAAGCAGGATTTTTTTTTTTTTTTTGATAAATAACTTAAGCAGGATTTCATGCATTATGGGAACACATTAACATCCTCAAACCAACACACTCCTTCAGGAGAAATCCAAGTCCAGGAATGAAAGAAAAATGAAATGCATGATACACAAATAGAAATAGTGATCCTACCACAAAGGAGAGTAAATGTTCATTCTAACATGCCAAAAGGCATATGAGGTTTGTGACTATTCTAAATGCTATGAGTTCAAGTATAAGCAGCAAAGAGCAAAGTTATCTGTTAATGGGGCACAAAGAAGAAATTAGCACCAGAGCAACGTGAATGTGATAACATTCAAAGGCATATGAAGTTTGTGACTTTTCTAAATGCATGATATACAAATAGAAATAGTGATCCTACTGCAAAGGAGAGTTAATGTTCATTCTAACATGCCATAAGGCATATGAAGTTTGTGACTATTCTAAATGCTACAAGTTCAAGTATTAAAGTTATCAGTTAATGGGGCACAAAGAAGAAATTAGCACCTGAGCAATGTGAATGTGATAACATTCAAAGACCAAAAAATTATCTAAGATGAGTCAGAAAATGTGGTTAGTTTAGTTATTAAATACATGAAAATATTCCTGTTCCTGAACAATAAGAAAAGTGCAGTATGGATCTTCCGGAGACATTCAGTGCATGTACATGGTCAATAAGGAAAAGAAAATCCATGACTTACTTGATCGATATCGTGTAATAGGGATTTCTCGCAGCTCACGTCTTATGCACAACCACTCACCAAGCAAAGCCATCACTGCAAGACCAGTACCATTAACAACCCACCATGTAATTGAGGATGGCCACCCTCCATAAACGATGCACATAAAGAGATGTATAATGTAGATAGTGGCTGAAAAATCTAAGCACTTTTTAGCTCTCTCAATCAGATAAAGGATATAACAAGCCCTGCTCAGACAACCAAACATGCAAGTTTAGCAATTAGGCAGTCTTAATACAGGAAAAGAACATTAACAAACAATGACAACTAAGAAACAAATGACAGAGGCAGAGTTCCCTACAACATAATGTCATGGAAAAAAATTTTCTATTTCTAATAAGATAGCTAGCTTCACAAGAAGAGATATTGTATGTTTCAATTTTTAGTGACAAATCTGAGCAGGACTTTGTGTCACCATGCCAAGCAACAAGTAGATTTTAATTAACCTTTTACTAAAAAGCATGATAACTTGAACTTGAGTTCAAAAACTAGGTGAACCTTAGTGCCAAGTTGTGCAAGTAAAACATAGAAAACAATGCATAACAGAGCTTTGTAAAAAGAAAGCATTGACCAAGGTTAGCTGCTTTATAGTTATCACCAATTAACCTGGACATGAAGTTCTTCAATAACAAAGTAACAGATTTCTCTGATTGATAAAGGTCATACAATATAAGAAGAAAATAACAACTGTTTAATTTCCAAGACTTAGTTTTTTCTTCATTTCTTAGAGGAGGGTTTTTTTTTGTAAACTGAACAGAGGCATATTAGAAGTACTATAATTTAACCCTAAAATTAAAGCGCACCAAATATAGCTTAGTTTCTTTTCTTATTGATAGTAAAGAAAACATTTTATAAAGAAAAAAAAAAAAAAAACAAAGAAGGATACAACAAAGAAGAGATAAGCAGCTTATTTTCTGCAATGGCAAGCATTTTTTTCTTATCTGGGATATCTAGCAATGAAATCCCATAAATATGGGCCCAGATACATGGTTGACTCAAAGCATTAAGCATTTCAACCCCCCCCCTTCTGTCTATCTCTCTATGCAAAAGTTGGGATCTTGTCTTGTATTTCCATCCCTTATTAATAAAATCTCCTTGATCATCATTAATGCTATGCCAAAATGAATTAGAAACTTCAGTGCATACTTCCCTTTGCTAACTTCTTTTGAAATTTCTTCAATATTCATCCTTAATTTAGGTTCTTCTAAAGATCATGCAATTCTTTCTAACTGAATTATTTGTTAGAACGATATGAGCAATTTAGAAAGGGAAGCTATAATTTTGAATATGTTAGCAAATGGAATTTTTTTATTAAATAAGCTCCTAGGGGTTCTCAGATGGAAGTATCTCTGGATAACTCTTAGATACCTCCTTGCATAGAAAGAGAAATTGGGATAAAAATGGTGGGATAAATTTGATCTTTCGGAAGTTTTCTACAAAGTGTGTGTGTGTGTGTGCATACGATTTGTTCCTAACCAAATGACTTGATTTTGATTTAAGTCCAGTAACAAGCCATTGGCGCAAAATGTTACGAACCCAAAATTGAACTTTTTCTCTGATCTGCATGAATTAAGAATACAATATCCATGTGTGTATGCATATTATGTTATAATTTATAAATCCTGTACAAGCAGTGTCACAATATTCTGTTCTACTCTCAAGGCATTTCCCCCAATTGGTACCTTCTAAAAGAGAGAAGACCCACAAATTGTAGTACCTTTCTCCTATGCACTACACAAACTGAATGTGCTCATAGATTTCCATGATACGTCAGTCTGGAAGGACTTCTCTTCAATCATGACTAGTGAAGTTAAAGATCTCTAGTTTTGTAATCCTTTTTATATGACCTCCATAAAAAAGAAAATCCCTTTTAACCATTTTATGGACTATGAGTAACTGCAATGTCCTTTGTTTTAACCGAGTCCTGGGGCTTTCTACTTGTTTCTTTTTCATACTTATACTTAATATTATTGTAGAGAACACTGATGTGGGCCCCACAGCTGTGGCCCCACTCTGTCCGTAGGGTAGAATGTACCCTAGACATCCTAGGGTTAGCTGATGGTCAATCTGTTATTCCAGTTGTTATTTATATTTCAGTTTTATATTGTTTTATGTGTTATGTAAATACCAAGGG